GCCTGGAGCTGAGGAGCCTGACCTTCCCTCTGTCCCACCTCATCTTGACCCACTTCCCACTCCACCATCCTCCCAGACTTCCTGTTCTGAGAATCTTCCACTTCTTGACCCAGGGACTCTGAGCAGAGATTTTACCTCTTAAAGCTTCCATTTCTTCAACTGTAAAGTGGCCCCAACAATAACCTCCCTGAAAGGGCTGCTGGAGGGTTCCATAGGACAGTGTATGAAAAGTGCTTAGGACAGGGCTGCACACCCTAATTGCTAAAAAGTAGCTGCTACCATTGAATTCCAGCCAGGTGACTAAATCCACCCTTGTCTGTCTTTTTTTTTTTTTCTGTGCTGGGGATGGAATTCAGGGTCTTGCCTCGGCTAGGCAAGTGGTAAAGACCACTGAGCTACACCCTGGCCTTAAAGCCACCATTCTTTACCAGAGATGAGCAGACTCCAGCCACCAGAAAGCCCACCCAGTGGTGTAAGTTTGGAAAGTTGAGGTTGTAGAGGGGATACCTATGACCAAGCATCCTGTTGTTGTTGTTTAAAGAGACAGTTTTGCTGTGTTGCCCAAGCCAGCCCTGAGTTTCTGGGCTCAAGCAATCCTTCTACCTTCCACCTCAGCCTCCAGAGTCACTGGGATTACAAGCAAGTGCCACCATACCTGACAGTAGTGAGTGAGTGTGTGTGTGTGTGTGTGTGTGTGTGTGTGTGTGTGTGTATGTGTATTTGATTTCCTTTATTTCACACTGTCTGAAAACCATCCGTGTTAGAATCTATATTTTTAACCTGCTAAGGGTTGCTGTCAGATTTAGAAATCTGTGTACCAGGGGCTCCAGGGTTCCCCCCACCAAACCCCTATTCTGGGAAGGAAAGGAAGGTGGCTCCTCCTCTCCTGGCCTGAGCTTCGTGCCCACAGGTAATGCAGTAAGTATTTTCCCTTCCTCCAAAGACCTGACCACCATGATATTCCAGACTTCCTGCCCATGGCCTCTGCTGGGCCCCACAGACTGCTCACAGCTTACCTTCACCACCAAAGTGAGGTTGCTGCAAGATAGGGGAAGAGTCTGGTGAGAACGGATGAGAACAGGGAGGAGCAGGGCTTGATCTGAGTCTTATAGGATGTTCCCACTCTGGGTACCAGCTAGTGAGCCCCTATTGTGAGCCAGGCCCAGGAGAGAAGCAGAAGGAAAACTACCTGCCCAGCAGGGGGTGCACAGGCTGCCTGGGAGACAGCAAGCACTAGCCTAACAATGAGGTCATGAAGTAGAACCAGGAAAGGGCTAGAAAGAGCTGGGTCCCTCTTTTCCTCAGGGGTCTAGAAGGCTTTTTAGAGGAGGTGGCACTGTATTTTGGAGCTGAGAGCAGAGCATCTCAGTAGTCAAAGAGGGGAGGAGGGACTCTTGGGGATCCCTTTTCTTCATACCACCAAATTCTAATAGAGCACAAACTCAGTACCAGGTACCCACTTCACATGTGCTTTGGCCAACTCAACACTGATAACCCAGCAGCTTTGGCCCACTATGGGGAGGGGCTTCCTATGAGCAGCCTGCCAGTTTTACAAAGGGTAAAGTAAACTGAGGCCTGGGAAGGACACATTGCTCACCTTGAAGATGTACATGCTCTGCACCACCACAGGCATCTGGAGGCCCAGACTTCTGGCCAAGGCCTGGAAGGGGGCAGAGTCACACTGGAGCCTGCCCACATACACCTCTATCTGTCCCCACTTGCCCGTCCCCACCTCTGCTCACCTGCACCTTGGGGGAATGTGTGACACTCCTGAAGACAGGGTCATGGGCGTGCAAAGCTGTGGGATAGAGGCCTGCTGATGGGCCAGTCTCAGCCCCCATGTGTCCCTCCCACCCTGAGAACTGGACTCAGGCTTCACTTTGACACTTTCAACTATTTTAGGTGCTTTAAACTTTATGCTTTTTATAACCAAGTAATGGGCCCCAAAGATACCTTCATCCCACCCAGCCCCATCCCACCATGACCTTATCTTGAACCATCTGGCTATCTGGGAACCTCACTCCAGCCCTAACTCCCCACCCCTCAGGGAGGACGAAGGATTCCAAGGGGACTCTTAGTTGGCAGCAGCTTCAATACTTCCACTTCTTCTTTGTGATCTCAGGTGACTACTATTTCTCTCTGTAAGTCTTGGTCTCCTCCACTGTAAAGTGAGGAGGAGAAGAGCTGCCCACCTCCCAGGGCTTCTGGGAAAGCTAATGAACATGGGCAGCAGGCACACTCATCAGCGGTCTTTGTGGTTTTTGTTGTTTTATCTGCAGTACTAAGGAGTGAACTTGAGGGTGCTCTACCACTGAGCTACATGCCCAGCCCTTTTTATTTCTGAAATAAGGTCTCACTGAATTGCTCATATTGGCCTCAACTTGCAATCCTCCTGCCTCAGCCTCCCGAGTCACAGGGATTACAGGTGTGTGCCATTGTGCCAGGGATTATTTGCTATTTGGGTGGGGGGGTACCAGGGATTGAACTCAGGCACTCGCCCACTGGACCACACCCCCAGCCCTATTTTGTATTTTATTTAGAGACATGGCCTCACTGAGTTGCTTAGCACCTCACTTTTGCTGAAGCTGGCTTTGAACTTGTGATTCTCCTCTCTTGGCTTCTCAAGCCACTAGGATTACAGGTATGTGCCATTGTGCCCAACTGCTGTTATTACTGTTATAACAAAAAAGTAAGTTTTGAATGCACTTAATGCCACCGAATGAAATATTTTAAAATAGTTATGGTGATTGGAGGCTGGATTTGTGACTTAGTGGTAGAGCACTCGCCTAGCATGTGTGAGGCATAGGTTCAATCCTCAGTACCATTAAAAAAATCAAAAAATAAAATAAAGGTATCATGTCTACTTTGTTTAAAATATATTTTAAATAGTTATGGTGACAAATTTTATGTCACATGAATTTTATCATAACTTGTTTACAAAGCCACCATGCTATAACCTCAGGTTTAAAAACAAGGGGTCCACAAAAATAATTACAATGTGATCCTGGGGGAAAAAGTGAAAATTTCTACACTTGGTTTTGGGGTCTCAGAGTAGGAGTAATTTCAATATATCAGCTGTCCCTCAAGAGGGCTCCAGGAATCAACAGGTCCCAGGAATCCCCCATGCCTGGGACAGTAGGTTGTGGAGAAGCCTGTACATGCCCTCTGTTGGGGTCTCAAGTGGACCCCTCTTCCCAGTGCAGTGGTAGAGGTGCCATGTGATTAGCATTACACAATGTCAAAGACCACCACCAAAGGGGAGCCTGCAACCAGAAAGGCGACTTGCCCAACCCCTAACTCAGTACGGATTTGACTACGGCTTCTCAGCTCTTCAGGCTGTTTCCCATCTATGTCCTGCACTCCCAGGTTTCTGCTCACCATGACCAATTTTGTTGACTGATTTCTCTGGAGGCACCAAGAAATTTCCTGTGGCACAGAGAACAGGTAAAAGAAGAAGAACAGCAGTGCAGCCTCCCTCAGGCAGCTGGCCTAAGCGCCCTGCCCTCCCAGCCCTGCAGGGCAGACACCTGGATCCAACAACCTCCCAGGGGGCTCCCACATCTCTGGGGACCCAGCTCCAAACCTTTATTGTCCAAAACACCTTTCTCAAAGAAGAATCGAATCTTGTCACCACTGCTCAAGAAATAGTTTGTGCTGCCCTGTGGAAAGGGACATGGGAGAGAAAGAGAGAGCATCCCAGGGTCAGAGCAGGGGCTTCCCATGCCCATGGGCTGCAGATCCCCAGTGACATCTTGGACATGTCCACTGAGGCACAGACAGTGGCTAGGAGCCCCAAGTGCCTATAAGCAGAATTCAAAGCTATAAGCATCGGATTTTTCAGAAACCTCTTATTAGATTCCACTTAACTTACAATGATGCTTCATCCAGATACACTCACTATAAATTGAAAACATTAGAAGTGCACTTAATACACCTAGCCCACAGAACATCCTAGCTTTCTCTAGCCTCCTCATGGGACACGTACATTAGCTCACAGTGGGGCAGACTCATCCAGTCCAAAACCTATTTTACAAGCTTAAGTGTTTAATATCTTGTTAATTTATTAAGTATTATGCTGAAAGTGAAAAACAGAATGGTTGTCTGGCATGGGAGACAGATGGTGAACACAGTATCTTTGCTTCCCATGATCAGGTGGTAGACTGGGAGCTGTGACTCCCTGCAACCACCCAGCATCATGAGAGAGTATGATATCGCGTGGTGTCAGTCCTGGAAAAGATCAAAATTAAAAACTCAAAGTATTGTTCCTACTGAATGAATGTACATCTAAAATCCTAAATCAAACCATCGTAAGTTAAGGATCATCTGTGCCCTTTCTTCTTGCATCCCTCCTGCCCCAATAATCTACTGGCCTCTGGAGCATTTTCACAAGGCAGATTTGGGGTACCAGTTTCAGCCTTCTTTCTCCTCAGGACCCTTGAGTGGCCGGTCTGTGGTCACTTTGCTTTCCTGGGATGCAAGGCTTCTAGCTGCTGTAGTTTTCTCTGTTGCCACTAGATGGCAGGAGCTCCTTGGTATGAGCGTGAGTGGCCTGGACCAGAGCTCAGCTGCCCTGCCGGAAGGCTGACTGTCAAACTGGGTAGGGTTGAGATAACTGGATGGGAGAACCACTTGTCCGTCTCAGACTGTGCTGAGCCTTGGGAAACAGCATGTTCTGAGTATGGGTGCAGGGATAAGACACACAGGCAGCCCATTAAAATCTCAGGGCTCTCTCTGGGATACTGGCCACAAAGGAGGCCCTTTGTGGCAGGAAAATCTGAGGAAGTATAAGAGCAGTGCACAGCACCAGTTGGTATCAGACAGCTGACTTCAAATCCTGGCTCTACCAGTTATTAACTATGGTTTGGACAAATGATGGAAGCCTCACTTTCCCTCCCTTCCAAGTGGAAACAATAACCATATCTAAATTGTAATTGTAAATTCATAGTGACAGGTGTAAGGAGTGGAGCCTGGCACGTGGGAGCCTGCACCTGATCTGTTATCAGAAGGAGCCATGGAGGCTGGGGTTGTGGCTCAGTAGTGGAGCACTTGCCTAGCAAGTGTAAGGCACTAGGTTTGATTCTCAGCACCACATAAAAATAAATGAATAAAATAAAGGTCCACCAACAATTAAAAATTTATATTATATAAAAATATTTTTAAAAGGAGGAGCCATGGCCTTAGGTCCTCCCTTCCAGGATGCTGCTTTGGCTGGGACTGATCCCCCATCAAAGACCAGATTCCATCCCCACCTACCCCATGCACTCACCTGGGCTTGAAGCTGTTCCTCGTGTTGGGTGGAAAATTCTATGCGGCAGTGGGGAGGGACATCCATCTCAGCCACGATCTCACCAATCCTTTGTTTCATAGCCTCACACTCGTCCACAGACAAGAATCCTTCCAGCACCAGGAATCCATCCTCCTGGAACTGCAGGCAGGAATGAGGCTCAGGCTTCCCTCTGCACGCTTCCCCTTATGAACCGTATTTAATCTCCCCACCAAACCCCAAATGTGTGAAGTTGAGACCAATGTCCTATTCATTGTTCTGTCCCCTGCCCCTGCCGTGGTATCTGGTGCCCTGTGAAGAACAATCAGTACTGGCTACTTGGAAGTTAGGAACGGAAGGGGAAGAGGAGGTTGTCCTGTACTTGCCCTCCAGTGGGCTGAGCCACATACAGCTGCATCCATGTATCCTGCTAATGTCGATTCAACATCTACTGTGTAGGAGACACAGCTTTAGGAGCTGTTATGAGCAAGCCAGCTGAGGTACCCGCCCTCACAGAGTTTATAGTCTAGTAAAGGAGGCCAGGCATGGTGGTGCATTCCTATAATCGCAGAGAGTTGAGAGGCGGATGCAAGAGGATCTCAAGTCCAAGGTCACCCTCAGCAATTTAGAGAGAATCTAAGCAACTTACTGAGACCCTATCTGTAAATAAAAATTAAAATGGTTGGGATGTGGCTCAGTGGTTAAGCACCCCTGGGTTCAATCCCTGGTGCTAAAAAAAAAAAAAATGGAGAACAACATTACACCAACCATCACATGGGGAAGCACACGATCATAAATGCTGAGTGCAGGGAAAGAGGGGGCAGGCTTTGAGAGCTAAGAGCAGAAGTATGTAATGGAAATGAAATGGGGGGCTGGGGATGTAGCTCAGTTGGTAAAGTGCTTGGCTTGCATGCACAAGGCCCTGGATCCAATCCCCAGCACCTCAAAAAAAGAAAAGAAATGAGATGGGAGTCTTTGGCAGCAGCTCTGAAGGAATGGCATTTAAAGGGGCCTAAAGGATATTGGGAGAGAAAGAGATGACAAAGAACACTCCAGATAGAGGAAGCAGGATGTGCGAAGACTCTGAGCACATGAGGACAGGAAGAATCAGGAAGGGATGCAGCACAGAGTGAGGGCAGAATGGAAGGGAACAGGATGGTGGCAGGGGCGGACCAGACTGGGAGCGGGCTTTCTCCTGAGTGCGGGTGGAAGTTAAGGCAAATAGCCTACTCTGACTCGCCTTGGGTCCTTCTTAGGAGGTTTTGTAACAGGCATCTAAGTCTTCTTTGGAACCCACCACAGTGTCAATTTCCAATTACTGACAGCCCTCCCACCCCCATACTAGCCCTGATGGATATCCAGTGTGGGTTGTCATATACCAGGTACTGCAATATTCATGACACCCACTACAAGCCCTTCTGTCTCTGGGAAAGTCTGTACTTTAGAAATTGGTGTTAGGCTGGAAATTGCCTCCCTGGGAAGTGGGACATCCATGGCAAACTGTGCACATGCTTGATCCAGTAACCACTCTTCATGAGATCAGGGAATGGAGCCTGGTGCAGTGGTACAAGTCTATAACCCCTGTGATTTGGGAGGTTAAGGCAGGAGAATTTCAATTTAAAGCCAGCCTTAGCAAGGCCCTAAGTAATGTGGAAAGATCTTGTCTCAAAAAATACAAAGGGCCAGAGATGTGGTAGAGTGTGGTAGCACTCAGTGGTAGAGTGCTCCTGGGTTCAATTCTCAGTACCTACCCCTGGCAAAAAATATCAGGGAATAGAGGAGCAAAGACATATGTGTATAGGTATTCACTAAGTCTTGTCTGATGAAAACTTAAATTGGAATAGTTAATGATTACCTTAGTATCAAGGGATTAGTTTAACAAAGTATGGTTTCCCTATCTGGAACACAAAACAGCTGATAAAGCAGCCCTGTGGTCACCTGGATACTTGACTAGCCGGCATGAGGTCCTCCCTTCAATCCCCAGAACCATAAAAATCATGTAGAAAAATAGTGACTTGGGAATATGTTCCTGATATACTCTAAGAAAAGGAAAAAGTTGGCCAGGGATGAGTATTTGGTGGCCATGACAACTTGGACCAATGGTTTTCTCTCTGACCCTGAAAGTACTCAATGGGGCTAAGGACCTTTTTTTCTTTTTCTTTTTGTGGTGCTGGGGATTGAACCCAGCACCTTGTGCATCAAAGGAAAGCACACTCCACCAACTGAGCTAAATCTCCAGCCCCGTGTGGGCCTCTTTAGAAAACAGGCTAGAGCTCCATCCCAGACTGGGATGGACTTTTTTTTCTTGCAGTGCTGGGGATGGAAGCCAGGGCCTCACATATGCTCAGCTAGCTCTTCCCATTGAGTACAGCTCTGCCCCAGGACAGGGATTGAAACAAGGCCTCTAGGGCTGGATACCAATAGGAACAGCCTCCATCTGGAATTCCTGGATGATTATCTTAAAGTCTGTGTGCTCTAATTCCCGCAAGTTAGCCTTTTGAATTTGGACTGAGAATTGGGAGGACAACCTCCTGCCTGGCTACTTGCTGGCCAGTCCCCATCCCTCTGGGCCTTGTCTCCATACCACAGGCAGCCAGGCCAGCTGAACTGGCTGATCAGAATGCTTTGAGCCCCGCCCCCCCCAAACATGCCCACACACGGTGCACACAGCCCCACCTCACCCCAGGTCCTGTAATCTGGATACCCCAGGGCTGTGTGTACAGAAGTTAGGTCTTGTGATTGGGAACTGAAACCCCACTGTGGGCTTCAGTGTCCCTTTCTGTGAAATGACAGGGAGTGTTGAGTTCCCAAGGGGCTACTGGAGATCTGGACCACCCACACACACTTTTGTAGGACCCTCCGGGTACCCAGCCCAGTAGACCCCTACCTACCTTCTGGAGCTGCAAGGGGCTCAGGCAGGCCATGAAAGGGGCTCAGGCAGGCCAAGAAAATGGCTCAGGGAACCAGAGGCTCTGGGTGTGGCTCCAGGGCTGGAGAGGAGAAAGTTCAGGAAGGGAGGGTGGCCACAGCAGAAGGCCCAGGAGGACTTAACCCTTCCCTACCCAGAGAGTAGCTATCCTACCACTCAGCCCTCCCTGCAAACATAGGCAGCCTGCACCCTCCACCCTGGGCCCCAGCTCCCTTCTCCCCTCTTCACAGCTAATCCAGGATTAGCCCTTTCCTATCTCCTTCAGGGTATTTCAGGGCTCCCTGGGAGTGTTCTGGGAGTGTCAGGCAGAGAGTGGGCTGGGAGGACAACACTGTCTGGGTCCACCACTAGCTGTGACTCTGACAAAGGCCTGTCCCTCTCTGAATCTGAAGTGAAGAGAGTGAGACCCTTGGCATTAACATCTCTATTGCAAGGTGTGTCTGGGGTGGCTTTGCATTCAAGGTGGAAGAGGTCCTGGGGGGGACAGTCTGGGCCTCTCCCAGCTCTGGTGTGAACTGCTCCCAGTCTTGGGAAGACTATGGAAGGGAGTTGAGGGATGTGAAGCTCAGAGGAAGGCAGAGAGAAGGACAACCTAAGAGGAAGGCTGGAGAGTGGGGCCTGGGTCTTCAGAATGAGGGAGATCAGGGTTCCTGTTTCCCATCCTCAGACCCAAGATGTTTAACATCTCAAGTTAGGCTTGGCAGGAAGGTCAGAACTGCCCGCTAGCCCGGTAGCTGACAAGGCCACTCTGGAAAACAAGCCCCTGGCCTTCCCAGAAATGATGCTTTGAATGACGAAGGGACAGAGTGTTTCAGGAGGGAGTGAGTGCAGGGACACTGTTCAGCCCTCAAGAGCCTTGGCCTCAGGTCAAGACTTGTTTTCTGGGCCACTGTGCTGGGAACGGCTGCTTTGTCCAAGCGAGGCAGGCTTCTGGAAGGTCAGGGGAGGTGAGCCCACTGGGCTTCTGGGGCTGGTGGGAGAAGCTCAGGGGGTCTAGGTGGGGGAGGAGAGAGGCCAGAGAATAACCATGAGGGTCATGGGGGCAGGGCTGTTCCCAGCTGTCCTAACCCCTTCTGATGCAGGCACCTGCCAACAGAGGAGCAGCGAGGCCCCTCATGCTCAGTCAGCAACCTCCCCAAGGACCTCCCGGCAGGCTGGTGGCAGAGGCTCAGGGAGGCAGCTCAGCTTTCAGGCCCACTCTCACTTTACCCATCTGCAGTTGGGACTAACAGAAGGGCCTCCTGTGAGCAGTAGGTTGGACACTGCTGATAAAGAGGTTGGCGTGAGCATGGCACCTAGGGAGTACCTGCAGCTGCTTTACCCAGCGCTAGTGGGGGCCCTTTGGGGCAGAATGCGAAGGTTGATGGTTTTTAAATTTTTTGAGTTTCCCCAAGTCTTTCAAATTGCTGTTGGAACCAGAGAAAAGTCTATCACTGCGGTTTTAGGCAGAGTGGAAAGGCCTGGGTGGGGGTGGGTAGGGGAGGAACAGCTTGGCCTCCACCCTTGGTTCATTCTGCTGGACTCTGGGAGGCAGGTGGATGGTTTTCCCACATTGTTGTTCTTTCCAGATCAAACTCTAGTTCCAAGCACTGGCTGCAAGGCCCAATGGCTGGGGTAGGGGAGGCGGTGGGGATGGGGCATGGGGGCTGGTGGGAGGGTTACCAGACCAGACAGTCAAAAGACTCTATTGTGGAGGTACAAGGGGTCTTCTAGGGGGTGGACACTCAGCTGCTCAGTCTCCCTGTCAGCAGTCCAGGACAGGGGCAGAAGGGGGAGTCTTTGCTGAGACCTGAGGTTGCTTCCCTAAGGAATCAGAGACCTGTGGAGGGAAGAAGGCAAGGCCCTGGCTTATTCCAGAGAAGGGCCCATGCAACTCAGGTCTCCGGCCGAGGCCTCTCTTCTGCCACAGGTTCCCTGCTGGTCCAGGAGGAGGACAGGTGGTAGGAGCCTTCCTCACACTCAAGAGCTTCCTCATCTGCGTGCTGTGGTTTCTGTATGTCCCCCAAGTCCATCTGTTGAACCTCCCTTTCTTAATGTGGGGGAGGCAGGGCTAGCAGGAGGTGATTGGGGCTGCCCATGAATGGACTGGTGCTCCTCCTGGCAGGCTTAGCTACTATGCCTTCTCCTCTCCCAGGGAGCCTTCTCCTTCCCAACTTCCGCTACCTTATGAAGCAGCACAAGGCCCTCACTAGATGTAGCTGCCAGGTCTTGGACTTGCCAGCCTCTGTACCATGAACCTAAATTACCCAAACTTAGGTATTGTGTTCTAGCAACAGAAAAAAGACCAAGACACTACAGTCATCATTGTTCCTCACAACTATCTTACTGATGCCATTCTGATTTTACAAACAGGGAAAAATGAAGTCTCATGTGAAATGAACTGCAAAACTGGGATCTGAAGGCAGCTCTGTCCATCTCTCTGAGCCTCTGCCCTTGACCCCCAGCACCTTCAGCAGGCCCCCCCAAGGGGCTGAAACCTGAACGGGGCCTACCCACAGTGACTGTCAGCAGGGTTCGGTGGTGCATGTCTGTAACATCAGCTGCCTGGGAGGCTGAGGCAGGAGGATGGCAAATTTAAGGTCAGTCTAGGCAACATAGTGAGATCTCCTCTTAAAATAGAAAACAAAAAGGGTTAGGGATGGAACTCAGTGGTAGAGCACCATTGAGTTCAATCCCTAGCATCACAGAACCAACCAACCAACAGTAACAACAAATAAACCCAGTTGGGCATAGTGGTACATGCTTGCAATCCCAGTGACTCAGGAGGCTGAAGCAGGAGGATTACAAGTACAAGGACAGCCTCAACAAGTTGGGAAAACCTTGTCTCAAAATAAACAAATAAAATAAAGAGGGCTGGGGATGTGGCTCAGTGGTGAAGCATCCCTGGTACCAAAAAAGAAAAAAGAAAAAAGAAAAAAAGAAAAAGAATCCTGAGGATTTGCTATTGGGACCACAAGGGACCTTGGAGAGCACAGAATGGAAATGTCCATCACACAGATGGAGACGTAGAGGCCACAGGAAGGGACTCTCCACCACTATGCATGGGATGACTGAGCTGTGAGAAGGACCCTGGACTACTGGCCCCCATTCTGGTGGCCTCTCCTACTCCACAACTATCAACACTCATAAGGGCTTACACCACAGGCAACTGGGAGGGCGGAGAACATGCTGGCAGGGGGACCTTGCCAGAGCCACACCTGGCACCTACGGGAGCCCCATTCAGCTCAGAACCTCCAGAAACTGCCCTGAAGGAGCTCCCGACTTCATGGAGCAGTAAGATGAGCGGAGCTGACCATCCTGTGGGTACCCAAGAAATGGTCCCTCGAGCCCAGCAGGCTTCAGACATGAGGGAAGGGCCCCCATTACATGGAGACCTCCAGAGGCTACTTTGTGTTATAGATTTATTTGATATTTGATCTGAGTCTACAATCAGACCCACAGGTAACGGACTGCTTCATGGTTGTCAGAGGCTAGTGTGCATTATTTGTGAGGATTACATCCAATGACACGACGCAGAAAACACAGACAGACATAATCATTAAGACGAGACGCTAAAAGGTGCCTTAGTGTCCACGTGATTGATCTAAGGCGGGGACCCTTCTAGAGGGGGGACCAAGTGATTGCTCTAAAGTGAGTGTCCCCCCACCAGACAAGCCAGGCACCAGACAGAAACTGGTGTGCAGCCAGAACCTGGGCGTTGCCCTCCCAGCAGTGACACCCGTGCCCGCCCACCTGGATACGTCTGCTCTTCATGAAGGATCAGGTGGTGATGGGGCCAACGTAAGCAGCACAGGTGAGTGGTGGCACTGAGCAGACCATGACAGTGGGGGACAGATCGGGGCTAAGTAGCTCCCTGGGCGCCTAGTACTGTGCGTGGAGGGGTGGGCGGCGGACGGGGTGCAGCACCGTTCATTCGAGGACCGGCCAAGCCGAGTCTCCTCCCTTCCTGGCAGCCCCAGAATGTTCCTTTTGGCTGATAGCCACAGAAATGAGCGCCTGCCAAGACCCAAGGAGGAGAAAGAAAACAAGACACCAAAAAAAAACCCCCGAAAACAAACAGGAGGGGAGAGGGACAAACAGAACTCTTGGCCAAGGTCACAACAGACTCGGAAGACACCCTGCACCCCACACCCGGGAGGAAGGAAACGCAGCTCAATGTCTTGCTGCCTTGCTCAAGGGAAACTGCCATCTACCTGAGACTCCAACTCACTGGCCCTTAGTGTTGGTTTTTTTTTTTTTTCTTTTTAATACCCAAACCATCAATTTTCAAAGCTTAGAAAATAAAACTAAACAACAACAAAAACATTCATTTGACTTAAAAAAAAAAAAAAAAGAATCTGAAACGCCACAAAAACGGATGAGGAGAACCCAGGCCTGGCCTTCTGCCGCGGCCCGCTCTCCACAGGCCCTGCTGCCAGAGCTCAGTCGGCATCGCTGGGCACTGTCCTGCAGCTGTTCATCCTGGACCATTCTGCCCAAGTCTGGATGGGCATCTGATGCTGGTGGCTTCACCCAGAAAGGAAAAGGGGAAACACCACCCAGCGTTCCTTAAACACCTCCCGTGGAGCTGAACTTTCTCGGGAATGTCTAAGTTATCTAGAGGAAGAAGATGGGAGGTGGAGAAAAATAAATACCAAGAGCTAGGTTGGTGTCCCTGGACCTCTGGTGTCTACCAGACTCTGAGGCAGAGGTGGCCTCAAAGGAGGAGACCCTGTTGTCCAATACTGCGCTCTGAGACCGACTTGGTCTCTGGCCTCCCCGACAGGCGCCTGCCCTGGCGGGGCATGAGGCTCAGGGAGAAGAGGGGCCAGCCCCTCGGATACTGTCCTCTCGCCCTGGCCCAGCTCACACCGGCCCCAGGCTCCGCCTGGCTAGGTCTGGGCTGGCTGTCCAGAAGTCCTAGGAGGGACAGGGTGGCCCGCCCAGCCTGAGGACTCGCGGGGGTCCCACTGTTGACTGCTCCTCCGGCCACTCAGGCCTGCTCCTTGTCAGCCCTCCAGAGCCGCTCCTTGACTTCGGGTGGCAGCGTGTTGAACAGGTCCTCCTCCACCACCAGGCCGCTGCGCTTGAGCAGCGGGCACTCGCCCAGCTCCACCGGCAGGCACTCTAGCCGGTTGCCCCGTAGCTCGATCTGCGCCAGGTTGGTCAGCTCGCCCACCCTTGAGGGCAGGGACTGCAACACGTTGTTGCCCAGATGCAGGGCCCGCAGCTTCCGGCACTGGAAGAGCTCCGGGGGGAGCACCTCGATCTGGAGGAAGAGCAGAAGACCAGAGTGAGGTGTGTGCAGCCAGGATGGGGCCCCCTGGCTTCCCCTCCCTGCGGACACTTTCCCTGATCCCTACTGCAGCTCCCCAGGAGCCTGGCACCAGCAGTGTGGCTAACATGTTCCTGTACATTAGTCTCTGCCCTGCAGTCACCTCCTTCATGAATCCTTCCCTGACTTTCTGGGTCTCCTGGCACTCCTGCGCCCCCTTCACAGCACTAATTCTTCCATCTGTCACTCCTGGATGTGGGCTCTAAAAGGGCAGAGCTGGGTCTGTCTTACGCTCTAGGAGGCATATGACGCTGGCAGCCACTGCCTGCTCCACCGTGTCTCAGGGCTCTCCAGGAGCGAGGCTGTTGGTACTGCCTGGCTTGAGAACAATTATGAACGCAGCGCAGCATGCTAAGGACATCAGCCCCTGAAATCTGAGACCTGGGGAGGTTCACTGAAACTGACAGGAATCCCAGCGAGGTCACTTCTTCCTGGTCCTGTTTCTTCACGTATCAAGTCTCATCAAGGACAGGGGTGCCGGAGCCCAGTTCTGGCCATTGGGAACCCCCTCCTCCTGGATCGGCCGCTCCTGCATGCAGCTCACCACAGAGCAGGCTCACTCTGAGCATGGATGCCATGAACTCTGATCCCCAGAGCCACTGCAAACGCGCTTCCCATTGTACTGATGGACTAACGCGGCCCCTGGAGAAACTCACTTGCCCGAGGTTCTGCAGGAGGTGGAAGAGCCAGGACTTGAAGCTGGCTTGACAGCCACACTCTGTTGACTGTCCACATTGATAGCAGAGCTGAGCAAAGGGCAGGGCCAGAGTAGAGCCATGCTGTGCATGCGGGCATGTTCCCTGCCCTTCTGTGCCCAATCAGCTGACAGTGGTCCTCACTGATCTGGTCTAAAGCATCCTCCTTCACAGGAGGGGCTGGAGGCAGAAGCAGGAGACCTGGGTCCCACTTGCAAGTGAGCACAGAGGAGAGGCTGCTCTATCACTCTTCCCATTTTCCTTCTGAGGAGACTGAGGCCTGCAGAGGTGAAGCGCAACTTGTCTGAGGTTGCAGGGCCATAAAGGATCTGAGAGGATGTAGGCCTTGCTTCCTCCCACTCCCACCCAACCCCACATTCCTATTCTGGGAAATATGGCACTCAGTTATGGTGGGCCTCGGTATCCCCATTTGTAAAATGCAGGATCTGGATTAGAAGTGCCTCTCAGCTTGGACATTCTGCGGCTGAGGACCTTTTGGCAGTCTGGTATCTCTGGCCACTTGTGGAAGACTCCAGTTCCCAGTGAGCAACTCTGCCTTCTCAGCAAGGCAAGTGTGGGTGGCTGAGCTAAGGCCAGGCCATAAGGGGCACTATGGGGGTCTTTAAGGAGACTCCTGGCCTGAGTACTCACAATTGTCCCTGTTGTGCCCAATGGTCAGAAATGGGTGGGTGGCTTCAAGGACTGGAAGTTAGGGATATGAAGGGCAGAGGGCAAGGGAAGTGGACTCTGTAGGACCAAGGAACCAGAGCATCCCCAGGGCCTACCTCTGATGATGGTCAGGACAGCGAAATAGGCTCTGCCTAGTCAGCGTGGCTCCAGAGCGCCCTCCCTGAAAGTTCCCCCTTCCAGAAGCCCCTCTTCCAGTTCCCCCTCTACCCTGGACTACCACTAACATGGTTCCCACCCGCAGCCCTGCATCTGCTCTCCATCCGCAGACTCCTCATGTACTGGGGGTCACATGCGCTGGCCCAACCTTCCTCTTCTACCATCCAACCCCAAAGCTAGAGGCAGACTCCTGTTCTCTTTTAGTGACTACATCAAGGAACCCTCTTCATCCACAAGCATAGAATAGATGAATTCTTGATCTTTAGGCTGGCATGTCTCAGAAGTCCTAGACCCCTGACACAGGTCATACCTTTGCCTCTCATCTAAGGTCCTGTCTCAACAATCTTCCATCTACCAGCCAGTTGAGTGAGACCTCAAGCTGCCCAGGCTCCCTGCCCCACAATCCTACCTCCAAATCCATCCATGTCTCTGTCCCTAGCAATATCGGCCAGTACAAGCCCATCCATTCACAAAACATGCCCCTACCAGGAGCAAAAATAACCTCTTTAGGGGCTGGGACTGCAGCTCAGTGGTAGAGCACATGCACAGCCTGTAAGGCCCTGGGACTGAACCGCAGCACCCAGAAACCTTGTAACCTTGCTAACAGCAAACAGGCTCACCCTTCTCGTCCCTGCCACCAGCGAGAACTCAAGCACTGAACACAAGAGCTGACATCTCTGCAGACATGGCTTATGGGCCAGACATAAAACAAAGACTCTGAAACTGGAGTGGAAGACAGGAGCTTCCTAGGGACTGGGGCACAGCCCACCACTGCCCTCAGGGCAAAGTCTACATTCCAGGGCAGCTGACCTCGCTGCACCTTCCAGTCTGACCTTACTGACTCTCCCTTTCCTCTTCACCTGACCACCTCCCTCCTTGTCCTTTTGGAGCAGGTGATGTACCCCTCCCTCCAAAAGGACAGGGATCCACAATCCCTAGCGGAATCCTAGCTATGCTTCATGCCAACTGCCCGGTTCCCTTTGGCACTGGTCATCCCAGCACCCCCTCCCTAGCTGGACTCTAGCAGTGCTCAGAAACACCTGCCTGTGGAGAGGTACTCATTAGTATGAGTACAGCCTGAGAAAATAGCACCCAAGGGCCCAAGCGGGGCCACACCCACCCCTGCTGCCCCACCAGTCCATAGTGCTCACAGGATCCAGGGAGCCTGAGTAGGAAGGAGTCTGACCCAGGCCTTGGCCTAAAAGGAGAGGCCTGCCTGCCCACCTACTGCTGGCCCAAGAAACCCCTTTTCCCTATAAAGGCCTCTGGCGCTCTAGGAGGTGGGGACAGGACGTGATTAAGCAGTGTGCTAAACTGGGTGTCCAGAGGGTCTCCTTCCTCAGGGACAGCAGGCCTCCGCCAACTCCTTTCCTGAGATGACCTCAGTCAACAGGCATGACACCGACAGAGGAGCCTGATGTGAGGAGATGGGGGTGGGGACTGGGCTCTCACATAAGATGTGAGGTGGAAGCCTGGTCAATTCCAGGAGCGGCCGATTCCAGGAGCAGGAGGCACACAGTGAGGCACGAATACTGTGCCCTGGGGAAGCCACCTAGTATCCCCTCCTCACATTATGCAAGGTGCTGGGTTTCTGATGCTTCCCAAACGTGGCCTCCCATGAGACTCCTTTTTTTTTTTTTTTTTTGTAGAGAGAGAATTTTTTTAATTTTTATTTTTTAGTTCTCGGCGGACACAACATCTTTGTTGGTATGTGGTGCTGAGGATCGAACCCGGGCCGCACGCATGCCAGGCGAGCGCACTACCGCTTGAGCCACATCCCCAGCCCGAGACTCCAATTCTGATCAGCAGGCCTGTGCTTTCCACAATGGTGAAGCACCTGCGTGGACCCTTGCCCTGTATTCTCATACACTCGAGTCATAATTTGGGGGAGTCATAATTTGGGGGAGGGAGACAGGATCTGTCATGATTCCTATGACACAGAGGAGGCAGGTGGTTTTTAGGAAAAGGCAGGGAAGAGAGGAGGAAGGCTGCTGAGTGGCAGCAGTCTGGGCCAGGAACCCCTGCCACCTGTCTGAGTGATGCTGGAGAAACTGTGCTCCTCCCAGAGCAGGGAGAAGCAGACAGAGGCATTTCAGGGCTCAGCACCCTCTGCCCTCGGTGTCCAAGGACGCTGGAGAGATCCTATCAGGAGAACCAGCAGCGCTGGTGGAGAATGGAGTGCTCACCCAGAGCAGCGCAGACACAGCAAGTGTTCAGCAGGCCAGCAAAGGCTGCATTAGGGCCACTGCTGTGACAAGCACAGAGTAGTAAGTAGCAGAAGGGTCTCCCCACCCTGGGCTCAGGCTTCTACCACCACCCACGTCACTGCAAAAATCTCTACCTCAAAGAAGGCCCAGGAAGCCCCACAGTACCCTGCCCTCAATCCTGCCTGTCTGACACCAGTCCCAAGGGTGTTGCCTCCCATACAGCCAGCTCCCAGAGGTCTGCACAATTTCCTTTTTTTGGAAAGGTGGGTAGTGACAACCATCTAAGCCCAACTCTGAGATTCACTATCCCTAATGCAGAGGGGAGATGGGTGTGAGGAATACTGGGAGCTGCAGAAACCATCTCAGCCAGGATAGCCACTCAGTTTCTGTCCTAGACTGGTCCCCTGGCTGCCAATCCAGCTGGGGACAAGCTGAGAAGACACCACAAGCTTCAGGCTAAGTTCTGCCTCCTACCACTCGGCTCCATTCACATCCCTTCCTACAAGAAACCCAGCTTGAGGTCACCTTGGGGACACACCCTGCCAGGCCACACCACCTCTCCTGGCAGGAAAACTCTGCATCATTCTATGGCAAAGGCAGGTTTTTTTTTTCCCAAACCCATGGGTCTGATTCAGCAGGTCTCAGAGGTGGCCTGGGAGTCTGAATCTTAAACAGCTCCCTCCTGGGTGGTTCTGGGAACCATAGATGAGGACTCCAAACTGAGAAGCAACAATGGTCCTGAGATGCTGAGCATTCTGAGCACCCGCCATGGGCCACCCCAGCACACACACGGCACCATGGCCAGGCCACTCACCCGATTAGCCGTGACAGCCAGATTCTGAAGGTTCTGCAGGAGGCCAATGTCGGCGGGGAGGAAGGTCAGATTGTTGTGGCTGAGATCCAGGTAGCGCAGCTTGCGGCAGTAGAAGAGCTGGGTGGGAATTTTCTCAATCTTGTTCCGGTTTAGGTAGAGGCGCTCGAGGTTGGTGAGGTTGCCAATCTGGATGGGGATGTAGGCGATGTGGTTGTACCACAGCTTAAGGCAGGTGAGGCGGTGCAGATGCTGGAAGCTGATGATCTCCTCGATGGTCTTCAGGTTGTTGTCCTTGAGGTCAATCTCCTGCAGGTTGTGGAGGCTAAAGATGGAGTGGGGGATACGCTCCAGGTCACAGCGGATCAGCTCTAGCTCGGTCAGGTTCACCATCTTCTTGAGGCTGTTGAGGACAATGAGCTTGGTGCCCTCATTATTGATGGACAGCTTCTGCAGGTGCACACCTACGTCCGTGACCACCTGTGGCAGCTTGCTCAGGTTGCTCTTGAGCCGAAGCACCTTGAGGCGCTTTAGCTCCCGCAGCCCATCGATGACGATGTAGCGGTTGTTCTCAGCGCTCAGGTTGCCGGTCAGGTGCAGCTCCTCCAGTGTCTTCAGGCTGTAGATCCATAGCGGGATCTCCTTGATGTCGGTGAACTTGATGTGCAGTGCCCGCAGGTTCTCACGCAGGAAGGCCAGGGCAGGGGCCTCGATCTTGGCTGCTGTGTGGTATAGCCACAGCTCCTTGAGGCCCGTGAGCTGGGCGATGCTGGGTGGGATGGTCACGTCGGGAATCAGCTCCAGCTTCAGGACCTCTAGCTCGACCAGGTCAAACACAGTGTCCGGGATGCCGCTGAGCATGAACAGGTGCAGCTCCAGCTTGTCTTGTGCGTTTTTGGTGAGCCGCTGGCGCAGCTTGTCCAGTGTCCACTCGTTGTTAAGATTCAGCTGCCGAAGCTTGTTCTCACTAACCTCTGAAAGGAAGACAGCGAAGCGCTTCGAGTAGAGCGGGTCATACTGGTCGATGAGGTGCAGCATGAAGGCGAAGTCGTTCTTAACATCTGGGATGTCACTGTAGCTGCTCTCCTCGCGGATCGACTCGAATGAGTACTTCTTAAGGGAGCGGCGCAGCATCCACCACAGTGTGTACATGCAGATGAGGCCGTAGAAGATGACCAGACTGATGTAGAAGGACGCCAGGATCTTGAACAGTGTGGCCAGAGGATGTGCACACCGGTAGGTACGGTAGCCCGTGAGGCTCTCAATGTCCACGGTGCAGTCCACGTCAAACTTGATGTTATGCACATAGTAGACAGTATAGCAGATGATGAGGATGAACTTGATCACCTTGATGATGGTCTGCCGCATGTAGAGGCGGTAAACGATGTCCCCCTCCTCCACATGGGTCCGAAACTTCTTCACCTTCTCAAACAGCGCCTTGGCCTGCTCCCCCTCCTTCTTGTCCAGCACGCCTGTCTCCGAGCGGTCCACAATGCCCTGCTCTATCCGTGACTTGGTCCGCTGCAGCATGGGCACAGTGGCCTCCACGTCCTCACTGACTGTGGATGACTTCTTGTCCATGGAACCATTCATCTTGCTGAAGGCAGGCTTGGGGTCACTCTCTTCCACCACTGTCTCTGAAAGGGCCCTTGTAGTCCAAGGCGAATCAAAGCACTTGAGCAAGATAGACACAAAGTGCTCCAGCTTGGAGCTTGTGCGTGGGAACTTAAACCAGAAGTTGCTGCAGGCCAGGAAGATGAGGGTGTGCAGGAGCACGAGGTAGGGGAAGTACTTGGCGAACCAGTGCAGGCGGTTCTCATAGCAGACGGCGTCCACATAGTTGTACTGGTGGCGGTCCAGGTCATACTTGATGCCCGTGGGGCCCGTGTCAGGGGTTGGCAAGATTGTAGAGTTGGGGTAGGTGGGCTCTGGGCTGGGGGCTGTCCAGCCCCGGAATGAATCATTGCAGGAATCCTTGGTGACCCACTTACAAGGCAGGCAGATCATCTTGTCCTGGGTGACTTGTAGCGTCCCACCAAAGACAGCAATCATCAGCATGACAATAGAGATGTAGTCAGTGAACACGTCCCACCAGGGCTTCAGGATCCGATATGCTGGTTGTGTGTCCGCAAAGTAGCGGAGCTCCGTCACTGGAATCATGGTTCAACCTGAAAGGGACCCAGGAGGGTCAGGGTAAAAGTATCACCACTGTACAGATTTCTACCTCACGTCTACCTGGGAGTCACAGCCTGGCCCTTCCAGAGGTGGCCTCCGTCAGGCCTTCTACAGAAGCCATGTGGTCACTTGTTAGCTGGAAAACTACCATGGGGGGGGCAGTCTCTCCATTTCACAGGAAGATGGTAGGCTACAAGGTTAGGGCCACCTCCACAGATCACTGCCTGCCTCCTGGTCCCCCTACAATCTATTTGGAGTTCTGAAAATCCCTGTTTGGAGGCCATTCATTTAATAATCAGAGGGGCTTGTTTAAAATTCCCAGGAACTCGAAACCAGCTGCTGGGAAGCAGAAGTGGCCTGAAGAAAGCAAAATGCGGAGGGGGCTTATCAAGAACTCACTTTTTTTTGGTACCAGGGATTGAACCCAAAGTTGCTTAACCACTGAGCTATGTTCCCATGCAGCCCAGTCTCTAGGGTGTGCAGGAACAGGGAGGTGGCAGAAGGCAAGCAGCCCAGGACCCTGAGTGAGGGAGGTAGCATCTGGGCACTTAACAGAGGTGGCAATGGTCGTAGCAATGCTGAGGGCACTGGGCAAGCCACTCCCATGCAGGCTCTGCGGGCTCCTTCTGATGTCCCAAGGCAGGGCCTCTTTTGCCCCATTATTTGGATGTGGGAGCAAAGGCTCAGAGAAACAGTCACCTGTCCAACGTCACTCTGCTAGTCACCCTATGGCATGGCAGGTCTGCCTTTCCAGGTGAACTCAGGTCCTCATTGTGGGGACTTGCCCCCTCTTGCCTAGGGCTCAAACACCCAAGTGGTGCCTGACTCAGGCAATGCTCATAGAAACCAGGCCCAGGTGTCCAGCTTCCCCCACTCTGGAACTCCCAGAGCTCAGGTCACCTTGGGGCCAGGAGACACTTCCACCGCCCTGGGTCTCCTGGTGAAGCTTGGATTTGTGGGCCAGGGAGCACACCCACCCCACAGGAAGGCCCCAGCCCTCTAATGACCAGCTGGCTCCACACACCACCCACACTCCTAGGAAAGAGGGGACTCTGGGCGGACAAGGGCCTGCTGAGTCACACAGCTGGCCTCCAGCTGAGACAGCCAGTACAGCCCTCCTTCCTGGCTCCCTGAGGCCTCATCCAGGGCAGGCTGAAGACTGGGGACTGGAAGGGAGGAGTGATGAAGAGGAGGGCCCCAGGGCCTGCCCTAAGAGCAGGAAAGAGGCTGGCAGGGACCAACCAGGAGTCGGCATTTGTGGCCGGGGGCAGCTTCTGACCAGGCAGGATGTGGCTTTGATACAACAATACTCCCCTCACTTTCTGAGGGGGAGTGGGTATGTCAACTAATGCAGAACATCCAGCCCCCTCTGCCCTGGTGAGATGGAAGTGTGCAGGCTTTAGTGCAGGCAGGGAGGCTGGGGTCAGGGGTAGGGCAGGAAGCAGCCCAGCCATTCCAATCTTTCTGACACCCTCCCCCATCTCAAGGCACACTAGACTCTACTTAGGCCTTGGCTAGGTCCTGTGGGGACAACCAGTGCTCAGGGTATGGTCCCCACCTTAGCATCCTCTGGCAGAGTGAACATGTGTGGTGAGGACAGAGGGTGCACAGGCTGAGAGGCAGGGCCCGGGGCAGCCACAGAGCCAAGAAGGACCAGGATGGAGGTGGAACAGGCTGGAGGATGCAGAGATGCAGAGGCAGGACCTGGGGCGATCAGAGCCAAGAACCCCCAGGATGGAGGCCAGTGTGGGTCTGACCCAGCAGTGCCTAGGCATGCCCTGCTGCAGTGACACCTAGAGGGGTCACTCCCTGGCTGGACCTGTCCTGCCTCCTCACCTCTGCTGTGCAGCTCTGGACAAGTCGTTGCCCCTCCCTGAAGGCATTTTGGAGGAGGCCTAGAAAGAAGGTACGGACACCAAGTCTAGGGATTCAGTTCCTAGGGGTGTCGAGGAAAAAAGAGGCACCCCCCATGGAGGCAGCCAGGTGGAGTGGTTCCTGCTGTGTGTGAAGCCAGCACCAAGGTGGGGCCAGGGCTCTGCTGGGAGGCCCCTCACTGGCCTGTAGCTTCAGGTCCTTCCTGTGTATAAGGGACTCACAGGACTCCACCTTCTCATTCCCCAGGCCAGGCCAGATGATCACTGAGCGCAGGAGTCTGCAGCAGACACTGGGTAACTCAACAAATGAGAAGCGCTCCCAGAGAGCGACCAACTGAAGGGCGGCAGGAAGGGGAGCCCAGGAAGGGCGTGGGTCTGGGTGTGGGGAGGAGGGCAGCAGTTTCAGGTAGGTGTGGCCTGGGAGTCAGCCAGGCTCTGGGCCCCTCCTTCTTCCTGCCGCGGGAAGGCATGGAGTCACAACATGGGGGGTGGGGGGCAGTGAAAGGCACACCCAGGAGCCAGGTGTGTAAGATGACTCAACACCTACAGTTAAAGTGGCTCCCCATTCAGAGACTGAGGCTCCCCATTCAGAGACTGAGGCTCCCCATTCAGAGACTGAGGCTCCCCATTCAGAGACTGAGACTCGGGGCCCAGCCCAGAATCCTCATAAGTCAAGGGCATCCATTGTTTTTCTCAACTGGTTTTATACTGTGGTGAAATACACATACCATAAATTCCCCATTATACCCACGTTAGTGTCTGGGTCAGTGGCTGGGTAGTGAGCAGGAGGTGGGGAGCAGACAGATGGGGGAATGACACCCGCAGGGTGTTAATGAGAAGTGTGTGGAGAGCTCAGGAAGGACATCTAGGAAGGAAAGCCACTAGGGAGGGCTCCCAGACACCTGGGGAAGAGCCAGGTGGGTGGGGCCTGGCACACAGTAGGTGGGCAAGAAGCCACCAGAACGGTACAGGGCCTTTTCGATGGAATGCATAAGCTCATTTTGTATTGCAGTGTGGGAAAATGTGAGAGTCAGAATACTAAGGGACATAAGCTCATGATGCCTAGACCCTTGGCCAACATTCCTACACAATGGGGAAGGTTTCTCTTCAAGTGAGCTAGACGGAAGCCTAAAATGAAACCTTGTATTTTTAACCAGCATACATTACCTACATGATTGAAAAATAAAACAGGGGGCCAGGCACAGTGGTGCGTGCCTGTAATCCATCCGGAGGCTCTGGAGAACAAGGAACAAGGATTATGAGTTCAAAGCCAGCCTCAGCAACTTAGCGAAGCCCTAAGCAACCCAGTGAGACCCTTCTCTAAATAAAAAATATATAAAAGGACTGGGGATGTAGCTCAGTAGTTAAGCACCTCTGGGTTCAATCCCCAGTATCAAAAATAATAACATAGGGGGCTGAGGATGTGGCTCAAGCGGTAGCGCGCTCGCCTGGTGTGTGTGCGGCCTGGGTTCGATCCTCAGCACCACATACCAACAAAGATGTTGTGTCCGCCGATAAAATAAAAAAATAAATAAATATTAAAATTCTCTCTCTCTCCTCTCTCTCTCTTTAAATAATAATAATAATAATAATAATAATAATAATAATAATAACAACATAGGAGGCTCGAGGGTGTAGCTCAGTGGTAGAGCACTTGCTTAGATGTGCCAGGCACTGTGTTCAAATTCTAGCACTGAAAAAAAAAGTATGTAATGTTAAATAAATATAACCTTATAACTGTAGAACATGAAAAAAAAAAAAACAACAGGGCTCAGGTGTGGAGATCTGATGTTCTTTATAATTTTGAGCTGGAGGTTTTAGAAGGCAATATGAAGACAGATCAGGCTAGGTCTCTGCTCCAAAGATAGGGGAATTTGGAGAATTCCCTGAATCCTAAATATAGGACAAAGATCAAAGGGTTTAAAATTGGGGCTGGTGAGAAAAGACAATAAGAAAGTGAAGTGTGCCTTGCTGTGCTACTGGCTGCAATCTAGTTGTTTTTCCTATTTCCAGAATAGATTGGTGTTGGATGTCACTGCCCCAGGGTCAGGGATTAACAACAAATGGGAAACTCCCGGACACAACCAGGGAACTGTGGGCAAGAGACCACCAAAAGCAGGAGGGGAGGCTGGGAAGTCTGGGGGACAGGGACCTTTTCAGGGGCATGCCACCTCCCTGGTGTGCAGCAGAGAGTGCAGAAGGTGGAGCAGGGGTTTCTAGAGTGCACAGAGCCCTGGGAGGAGAGGGGATGGGAAGGAGGACAGCCAGTTCCTGGGAAAGACTCCAGCACAAAAGTTCAGTCACAGGGACTTTGATCAAAGTGAACAGGAAACCTGGGAAAGCCAGATGTGGTGGTTGGTGTTTGTCAAATATTTACCAGCTGACGGAATGCCACACAGCAACAAGCACACACCAGCTAAAGACACTTGATGACCCTAGGAGAGGTCCACTCTCCTAACTACATCAAGCAGGCAACAAAACCGTGCACGAGGATACTCTACCACACCACGCACACACTCCACCCAAGCTCTCTTGGAGTGAGGTGAGATGCTCTTTTTTTTTGGTGGGGGGCGGGTACCAGGAATTGAATTCAGGAACACTCAATCATTGAGCCACATTCCCAGTCCTATTTCTTTTTTTTCAGTTGTACATGGACATAATAACGTTATTTTATTTTTTATGTGGTGCTGATGATCAAACCCAGTGCCTTACACATGCTAGGCAAGTGCTCTACCACTGAGCCACAACCCCAGCACTCCCCAGCCCTTTTTATATTTGGTTTTGAAACAGGGTCTCACTAAGTTGCTCAGAGCCTTGCTAAGTTGCTGAGGCTGGCTTTGAACTTGTGATCCTCCTGCCTCAACAAGCATCCCCCAACAACCTTTAGGATTATAGGCATGCACCACCACACCCAGCTGAGATGCTCTTTACAATGCTTCTCACATCCCAAATTTACCTCTTTTTTAAAAATTATTATTATAACTACAGGCATATGGTATTCAGGCAATTAAGAAAACAGTTTTTTTTTTCTTACTTGTTGTTTTTTTGTGGTGCTGGGGATGGAACCCAAGGTCTCATGCATGCCAGGCAAGTGCTCCACCACAAAGCCACACCCCAGCCTGAAAAAAGTTAAAAAAAAAAAAAAAAAAAAAAGCATGATTTCAAGGGATCAAGAATACCTAAGATAATTTGGAAAAGTAAGAGGGGAAGAAACACCAGATACTGAAACTTACCAAAAACCTATCAGAATCAAACAATGTGGTGCTGATATGGGGACAGATGTGTGGACCCAAAGAACAGAAGAGAGCTTTGAAACCATCCATCACATTTCTGGAAACAGATGTGTCATGTTGGCTGTGCAGATCAGGGGAAAGAAGGGGCATAACGAGCAGTGCCAGCTCTCAGGGGGGAACATGAGAAAGCACAGTCCCAGCTCCTTCCTACCCCAAAATAAATCTCAATGAATTAAAGACCTAAAGCAAAACCTGAGAATGCTGAGGTGCCAGGGATGCATTTCAGTGGCAGAGCACTTGCCAACTTTGTGCGAGGCCTGGGGTTCCATCCCAGTACTGAAGGGGAAAACAAACAAACAAACAAACAAAAAAAAAAAAAAAAAAAAAGAAAATGAAAAATCTAAAGGACTATCTTACTTACTGTAGTAAACACAGGAAAGAATTTCCTAGCACAAATGTGCAATTCCTCATTCGGTGAGGTTGGATTACATAACCCCAACACCACAAATAAACAAATATATCAAACTAAAACATGCACATCAAAGAACATAACAATAAACAGATGGAAAGAAGGGTGGAGGTATTTCCAATGTGTGCATACAAAGAATTAATACCAGTTAACGCCTAGGAACAGACAAAGCAGACTATTCAATGGGAGGAAACAGCAAGACACATGGATAGGCGATTCATAGGGAAAAGTACAAATGGAAATCAGTGCACAGAATGATTCTTCACCTCATTAGTGGTCAAGGAACATAAACTGAAACAATCAGATACCCAGATGAGACCATTATATTCCCTCAGTCTGACACAAACACTGAACTCCTAGCTGAAGAGTCAGGACACATAAAGCCTATAGCCCAGCAGTCTGCTGGAGCGAAGCATCCTGGAGAGTCTGCCTTATACACACACACACACACACACACACACACACACACATACACACAAAATGAGAACTACCCACAAGGATGCTCAATGGAGTTGTTTATAAAAGCAAAACACCAGCAGCAATCTAAACTCATTGACAGGAGAAAGGCTAAATTGCTCTATTCATATAATGAAACGTTTTGAATCAATTAAAATTATGAACTAGAGCTGCATGTATTAACAGGGACAAACCTCAAAAACAATGCTGTACCAAAACACAAGTCAGAAAACGATATATAATATAAACTTTGTGGGGGTTTGTGGGGGTTTGTGGATGGAACCCAGGGGTACTCTAACATTGAACTATATCCTTGGCCTTTTATAAAAACTTGGGACCAGATTTTAAAGTTGCCCAGGCTGGCCTTGAACTTGCGATCCTCCTGCTTCAGTAGCAGGCCATTTGCCACCTGTGCCCAGCATCTTTACACTTTTCTATGTGCTTGAGCTATGACATCACACAATGCTTACCCAAACAATCACCTATTTCTAGTCCCTTATGGCTGGTCCTCTCCCAACCCTTGCAGGTGAGAAGGCCCCACAAGCAGCCACAGCCACTATGCTGATCACCAGGGCAGTAGACACAGTTCCTCTGCCAGGCTGCCCACCCTCGCTCCTCTTCTACTCATGAGGCACCCCCCTGCCTGGTTCTGCCATGCCCCCAGGGAAGACGCAGAAGTGCCTGAGAGGCAGGCCAGACAGATCCTTGCTGTAAGGCCACATGGGCATGTGAGAAGAGCAGGACCAGATCCCGCAGAAGGAATGGGGCATCCTTGTACCTGGAGGCCAAATGAAGAACTCAGAGAGCCTCCATCCTTCCCTCAGTGGCAAGTGGCTCTGGGGAAGGGCAAAGAGTAAGGGCTTTGGAGTTGGGGACAAGTAGATTCAAATCCAGCTCCAGCTCCAGCATGAAATAATTCATGACCCCAGATTATTTAGCCCCAAGCCTCTACTTTTGCAACTTTAATAATAATGGTTCTGGGGGCTGGGGGTGTGGCTCAAGCGGTAGCGCGCTCGCCTGGCATGCATGCGGCCCGGGTTCGATCCTCAGCACCACATACAAACAAAGATGTTGTGTCTGCCGAAAACTAGGTAACTAACTAACTACTTAAATAAATAAATATTTAAAAACTCTCTCTGTCTCTCACTCTCACACTCTCTCTAAAAAAATAATAATAATGGTTCTGTACGCAGTGACACAAATGATGTCCAAGACAAATTAAGCTAAAAAAATTCCCACCTGGGCTGGGTTGTGGCTCAGCGGCAGAGCACTTGCCTAGCATGTGCAAACCCCTGGGTTTGATCCTCAGCACCACATAAAATAAACAAATAAAATAAAGATACTGTGTTCAACTACAACTAAAAAATAAAAAAATAAAATAAAAATAAAAATTTCCCAGCTACTCAGGAGCTGAGGCAGGAGGATCATGAGTTTGAGACCAGCCTAGGCAATTTAGTAAGATCCTGTATGAAAATAAAATGAAAAGAGCTGGAGTATAGCTCGGTGGTACAGTTTTGTGAGTTCAATCCCCAGAACCAAATAAATAAATAAATAAATAAAAACAGCTGAGAACACCTAAAATGTATGATCTGGGAAAGCCAGTCACAAAAGGACAAATACTGCAGGATTCTGCAATGAGGTACATAGAGGGTCATTCACAGAGAAGGAAGAAGAGCAGGTCATTCACAGGAAGCAGAAGGCAGGTAGGGAATGGGAAGACAGCATATAGTGGAGACAGAGTTCCTGTTTAGCAAGCTTATAGGTTGTGGAAAAGGATGGTGGTGCACACCTATAAACCCAGCAGCTCCTGAGGCTGAGGCAGGAGGATCTCAAGTTCACAGCCAGCCTCATCAATGGCAAGGTACTAAGCAACTCAGTGAGACCCTGTCTCTAAATAAAATACAAAATAGGGCTGGGGATGTGGCTCAGTGGATGAGTGCCCCTGAGTTCAATTACTGGTACTCAAAAAAAGAAAAGTGGTGAGAACAACAGGAATGTACGTATGCCCACTCCCCGTGCACTGAGACATGGCTAAGATGAGAAGTGCTATGTGCATTTCACCATAATAAAAATAATTAAAAAGAATAGGACTCCATTCTTGTTTTAAAATTCTGTCAGTAAAAATCTCATTACTGAAGTGAAGTTAGCCAATCCCAAAAAAACAAATGCCGAATGTTTTCTCTGATATAAGGGGGGTGACTCAAAGTGGGGTAGGGAGAGCAGAGGAGGAGATTATTTCTAGATAGGGAATAGGGGTGGGAGGGGAAGAGAGGGAGAAGGGGAATAACTATGATGGTGGAAGGAGATGGTCATCATTATACAAAATACTTGTTTGAAGATGTGAATTTGGTGTCAACATACCTTATATACAAACAGAGATATGATAAATTGTGGTATAAAGGAATATTAAGAATTGTAATGCAGGGGCTGGGTTGTGGCCCAGAGGTAGAGCACTCGCTCGCACGTGTGAGACCCTGAGTTTGATCCTCAGCACCACATAAAAATAAATAAACTAAAGATATATATATATAAAAGGTTTAGCTGTAAAAAAAAAAAGAATTATAATGCAAAAAAATCAATAAGAGAGTTCATATATAATGGCATAATTTGCTGTGAACATACTTTATATACACAGTTATGAAAAATTGTGCTGTGAATGGATAATTATGAATGTAATGCATTCCACTATTGTCATGTATGAAATAAATTTTTAAAAAATCTCATTACTGTTCATACAGAAAAATCTGGACAGCTATACATAAATTATATGTGGTGAAATCTGTGGGTAGGTAAGATCATAGGGTTATCTATGTTACATATTCTATTATTAAAATATGGTATGTTTGTGAGCAGAAAAAATACTTGGAAGAAATCAGAAGAACTTCTCACCATGTGGTTTATGAGATGTGAGAAAAAGGTCAGTCTGAGCGTCCTGCCCTGCCTTGCCCTGCCCTGCCCTGGAGTTGGGGGCCACTCCACAGGTCACTGCATGCTCGCCACATGAGAGCAACACACAGGGCAGACCTCGGAGCTGGACTGAAGTGGCCACTCAAATACCAACTCCAGCACTTCCTCAACAGGGCCACAGAGTCCCAGCTCTAAGATGGGAGCATTCCAGCATAAGATGAGTGATTGTGAGAATAAGGATGAGGGAAAATATTGCATGTCAACTGGACACCTGGCACAGTGAGAGGCTCACTGTGGTTCCACAGCCCCACCTGTCATCACGGGAGAACCCTCCCAGAATTCAGTGGGGATAGAACTAGGTGAGGGCTCAGCCACAGCACCAGTATCTCTGAGAAGAGGCCAGCCTACCCAGAGAGCCCCAGGACCTCTTGGTCTCTTCTTTGCTCAGGATCCCAAGAAAGGACCAAGGGTGGAGCACTGGCCATCTGCTCTCAAAACCAGTCCTTGAGCATCTACCCCAGTCGACACAGTTGATCCCTCTTTTCTTTTCTTTCTTACTATGATGCCCATATTGGTCCAAAGTTCTGGGCTTAAGCGATCCTCCTGCCTCATCCTATAGTGCTGCTAAGACTACAGGCATCACAGACAGTTTCAATTTCCTTTTGATGCTTCTTACAGAGAAAAGAATAAACAACAACAACAAAAACAACATGTAGTGGGGTAAGTGGAGCATTCCAGTACTCCTGAGACAAAAGAATTGAAAATGAGGCCAGTCTCAGCAATTTAGCAAGACCCTGTCTCAAAATTAAAAAGTTAAGAACAGGCCGAGGATGTGCCTCAATGGTTAAGTGCCCCTGGGATGAATCCCTAGTACCAAAAAAACAAACAAAAAAATGAAAAGGGTTGGAGATGTGGCTCAGTGGCTGAGTGCCCTGGGTTCAAGTCTCAGTACCCAAAACAAACAAACAAACAAAATGCTGCTGCTTTTGTCCTCAAGGAGACCACCCAAGCATGTCCCAGACCCCACATGGGCCAGCAGAGATTTGGGCAGCTC